GATGCGGAAGTGGCGGACTTATGCCCGGGACGGGCTTCCCAATTATTCTCTTCCTAACGTCGATATAATGGAAGTCCAATTGGACCTTCATGATCAATGGTTGAAGCGCCTTCCCTGGTATTGTGCTCATCACAAAGGTGCACATGGTCAACAGGTGATGGATGATGTGCTTGAATGCACAAAGCCTGAGGATGACCCTCCTCCCAGTGACGAGTACTTCACATGTATTTGCACCGTCCCGGTGCGACCTCCACCAACTGGTCAACCGTCAGATGCCGTCCAGTGTGACCATTGCTATGCACGGTTCCATGGTGTCTGCGCTGCTAACGGTGGTTCCTGTCCTTTCTGTGACCACCATCATTGGAATGGGTCAATTCATAAGGACAGAGCATCGTATCATTTTTGCTTCTTGCCATCAATATTACTGGGTGCGCCCGACATTACAAAGCATTACTCGCTTGCCTGGAAACACCTCGAAGTCATTGTAACTCGCGTCGATCGACTGTGTACCCTCGTGGGTAAATTCCTTTCTTTTGCTTCCCAACTGGGAAATCAGCGACCGGAGTATATACCACAGGTGAGACATTATATGAGGAAGTTGTTCAAGATTCAATTTGCTGTGTCACCCAATCCCGAGGTATCGTATGGGCTTGATCTGGCTGGTTTGCACCGTATCTTGGCTAGCCAACCTCCTCCGATGCGTGTCAAGAAACGTCGAAGGCCAAGGTTTTTGCTTGGACCTGACATTGATAAGGATGCCATTGATGGCAGCCGTTGCGTTTGCCGTGGTGCGAACCGCTCTACAGCACAGTTCCCTGCAATTCAATGTGAACATTGCAAACATCTATACCATCCGGGGTGCGTCTTCCTTCCAATACGCGATCAACGCGAAGAAGCGGATTTCATATGCCCTTTGTGCTGCATACGGAAAGCAAGAAACTACCCTTTCGCTGAAGTACGTGTGAGGCTAGCAGGTATGCATATCCCATCACTTCTCTTGTAAAGCACTAGAATCTAAATATGCTTACTACAGAAGAATCAGATCATGGCGTTTACATTGACTACATGGCTTGTCTGAACGCATTTTCTCGAGACCCCATCAAATGTCGGCTTCCACCTCCATCTGGGCCCGCTATCCAGGTTGAGCTGATGCGATTCATATCAGGACAACCGGAAAACACGACCGTGATTCCACCACCCCGTATTCCACCGTCATCTCGTCAACAACAAGTACATAGCGCAGCGAATTCGTCTCCCCAAACAGTTTTGCCACTGGGCCCGCCTAGTAGTGTCCGAGGTACGAGCGCAATGCCAGTGCACCCGCCCCATCATTTGATGCATGGTAAAGCTAATGGATCTTCATCTGCCCCGCCTTCTTCGTCTGGACCGTATGGGAATTCCCAACATCCATCTCATAACTTGCCTAATGATGCCATTCATACCAGCCACTCAAAGAAGAGGAAAGTCATGGATCCAGACGAAAGAGCCCAAGGGGCGCCTTCATCCAAACGAAGTGCTCCTTCGCGGACACCAACTTTTTCGGGGATGTCACAACATCCAGCTGACCCCCCTGAGTGTGATCGTTTCCATGCGATAGGACAGTCTCTGTTTAGTCCTGGCTCTGGTCAGCAATCACGATCGCCACCCGCTAGCCCAAACAGTACTCGTGTGCCGCCAACCATGCCGCCGACTGGGCCATATCCTCACAACTATTCCCCAAAAAACTCACCCTCTGTACCGCCTTCCTACCCTAATGGTCATTCTCGATCGGTTCGACCCACCTCTCGTCATTCGCACTCCAGTAATGCTCCCCGAGGACGCCCACCCCAACCTGGCGTTCCGGCAGCTGAAGTCCCTCCACCATCGGTGACATCTCAAGGAATTAAGAAGGTAAAGTTGCTTGTGAGGCCACAAGACAGATCTATCCATGACGCCTCCATGCCTCCTGAATGATATGCCTCAATCTATGGCTTGCCCTTTCCTATGTCGTTTTGATAATTGCTATAGAATGTTCTGTATCTGTATACGACCTTTTGATAATGCAATCCAATGTTATTCTTCATTACATAAATTATCGAAATTACAACTATATGATAGGTAACCCAGCGGACAAAACAAGAAGTTGATAACTCAAGTGCAGTGATGTAAATAAAACCTTTCTAAATGGAGATTCTGTATGGCAATATGCTGTGACTGCTCATGATCGGTTGACCATGAGTCTATAAGTTAAGAAAGAACCAATCGCAGCAATTCCAAGTAGTACAGCGATTATTGACAAGAACCAAGTATAACCATCCTAACGTCGAACATTAATTAGAAAAAGCTTTCCAAAAAAAGAATGAAATGACGCACGTTGACATCTTGACCAGGTACATGAACATTCATGCCCCATAACCCTAATTTGTCAAGTATTGACGTCATTAATTTCAGGCAATACAACACTCTTACCAGTGATCAGGTTCATAGGGATAAGAACCGTACCCAAAGCTGTCAGTTTAGACAGAACATCATTGATCTGATTATTTGCGTCCGTCATTTCAATGGAGATTTGAGCGAGATAGTTTGAATGGGATCGGGATAAAATCTTTTCGTAATGGTTCAAGTTTTGTGTCATGGTAATAAGATGGTCCTGAAAACCTGTGAGCACACTGAAGGATCGCAAGCATCAGCTAACATACCTGTATATCAGACAAATAGAGGCCCTAGACGTCCAACCAGTCAGTGAAGTACTATTGGTAGACGTCGACACCCACGATGTCAGATTTGGGCGCAACACTCCAGTTCTCATTACATCGTTTTGCGAGTCCCTTGACAACATCTGCTTTGTTTCCCATGAGCCTCAGCAAGCCCATGACCTTCTTACGACAAGTGCCGATTCTAAATAGTACCTTTGTCTTGAGAAGGTGGTTTCATTGGATGCAATAACTTTTACCGTCGCAACATGTCACTTTGCTCAGCCTCCTTGAGGATTAACACCAATTCATCGATGCTATCGACCTCATATTCGATGCTTTGAATGAGAGGCCCGAATGCATCAGTAATATCGTCTATCAGAGCATATGAGATCCAATCAGATGTTACACTGATGTAGTCTTTCAATTGTGTGATTCGGCGGCGAACATTTTGAGGATGGGGCGTCGGCTGGAAGTGGAACTGCAGATTCATCGAGCTGTATCAACAGATTAGGAGCAAATTTTAAGCTCTTTTACGTACGGATAAAGTCCCCTCTCGGAAAACGATTATGTACATATTGACGGGTTCAAGGTAAGTCGGCGAGTATTGATCCTGGTCGAATGATCTGAAGCAAACGAGGTAATAGTTGCGGAACAATTCTATCTTCTCGCGAGCTTCTTCCATTTGAATATCCTCGGTTGTAAGGGGATGGATAGAGAAGACCTGTCCGGGGGTGAAAATGGTCAATGAGTGAAGCACCTTGAAAGTCAACAAGTTCAACTTTGCTTAGCATACGCATTTCATCATCGGTAGGGCTTAATACATCCAACCACCATGTATTACCCTCCCAGTCATCTTCCAATGTGCGACCTTTCTTCTCTGGTGGAGGTCCGAGGCCTCCATCAGCATCAGGTACAATGGTAGGACTAGGCACAATGCGCGGAGGTGGAGTGAGTAGTCCACGGAGTTGCTTGCCATTACTTTCAGGCTGTTGATCCCGACCATAGCGATGGGAGCCAGAAAAAAGTTCTTCAAAGCTTTGACCCTCTGCCGGAAGCTCAGATAAACTACGCGCATGTATGGTAGCAGAAAGTGTGTTGGAGTAAAAAGAAAATCGATATGGCCGGTCATGTCCCTGCCCTAGGGAAGGATTCAAACCCCAACCTGATGGACCAGCCGCGAAACGGCCATCACTCGGAACGAACGAGGGCGGCGGCGGTCCTAATATCCCACCAACATTACCTTCAAAAAGGGCTAACTTGCCGCTTTTCCCCCGCCGGGCACCTGGAGCACTGGTCGATTGAGAGAGTTTACGTTGGCGGAGACGCGAAAACTCTGTCCGATTTTCAGATGGTCCCTCCGATATTAAATCAGCCATGTCAAGCGCGGAGGGCTGGTCACCTATGTCAGATGTCATGGGGAGTGGTGACTTTTGGTCCTGAGAAGGGGCGTGGGGGAGGAGCGTTCGCTGTCGCGCTGGTGCACTGATACCAAGACGTTGCTTCTCCTCATGACTAAAGGATTCCATATGCGAATAATCAAAGTTCGATCGATAAGCAGAAGGCTGGTACACCGGGAGCGCGTTGGAAGCATCATGCACATCCAAGTCAGAGCGCAATCCTTGGTTCAATGTGTAAAGCAAATTTGCATCGTCATCCCGAACAGTGCCTGGCATGTCTAAATTAAATACTTGATTGTTCATATCAGTCCCAAGAGTATCCTCATCGACAGTAGGCAAGAGGACGCGAGTAATATTGTGATCGGCTTCGTCGCCTGCAGGCCCACCCGACCTAGCTGTATGCATTGTTTCTTCTTCGTGTGGAGAGAGAAAGGGGAATGCATTGTCCGGAGACGAATGAAGGGGAGAAGGAACGGCATGGGCGTTGCTTCCATGAGATTGCTGACGGGGTGGTACAGGAACGCTTGCGCTACCTCTCCTTGCCCTTGACATCTGCATTGCTAAATCGACATCCATTGTCCTCTGTCGCTCTCTCGCGTCCGGGTCATTTGAAGCATTTTGGCGAGTATGTAAGGGGGAGAGACGTGGGTTCAACTCACGGTGAGGATCGTCAGATGGGCTTCTATGTGGTGAGGCAGGGGTCTCTGAAGAATTAATAGGATTAATAGTAATTGAGCGACTCCTTGTAAGAGATATTCTGCCGGCTGAGTGCCGATCTTCATCGCCTTCGTGCATCGACATAGCAATGCCAGAAAGCAGGTGGCAATTCTTAACAACTTTCTTGAGATGCCTGCTTAGATAAGTATTATCAAACGTGGGAAAAAGTATAGCCTGCCATGTGTAGGGAAAATATCATCAGAAGCTCTGAGCACCTATGGCTCAATGGCAGAGCGCCAGACTTCTAACTCCGTCATGAGAGTGCTCGGTTTCCAATCATCTGGAGGCTGCGGGTTCGAGTCCCGCTAGGTGTAGTTAATTTTTGTCTTCCTTACAGTCGGCTTTATGTCATAATGGAAGTATATAATTTTTCCACAACTCTATATAGGCACAAAAAAATAATTTGTTCCAGGTACACATAGTAGGCACTATTTAACATTTCAAAGAACCGTGTACCTGCCTGCTGTAGCCACAGGATTCCTCGACTCAGCTTGCAACGCAGCTGCTGAAGCCTCTACCAACAGCCGTTTGATTTCACGAACTGCTTGCTCAACCTTTGCGCACAAGAGTAAGTTATGTGGGGAAAACGATGCCATAGCCGTATACTCACCCTATATTCTTCATTAGATTCAATGAGCAGATGCAGTTTCGGTGGGCCCTCTGCGGGTGGCTCCTTTCCTGCCTCGTAATATATACCTGCATGGGTAATAAGTGATAAGTAAATCTAATATCTTTATCTGCCATCATATTTACCCTTATTCGTTACTGAAGCACCTGTCATGTCAATCAACTAAAACACACGGTTTAACGTCGTCGTTACAGGAAAAAAAAATGCAGCCCCACCTGCACCATAGTCTCCTTGTTGGTAACTCTCCATCTAGCCTTCTGCGGATAATCGTTAATTGGAACAATAGCATGAAAGTCGGTGGCATCTGGATCCTTTTTCGATCCATCTGAAGGATGTGAGGAGATCATCAACTTAGAGGCCCGAACTTGCGCATTGAGTTTAGCAACGACACTTTGAGCCTGTCTGTACGCAGCCGTGTCCTTGCCTGCCCTAGCAGCAGCCTCTTCGGCTGCACGCAAGGACGATGCAATCCGTTTCTCGTCGTCCTTTGATCTGGTAAGAACTCTGGAAGCATCCGGCGCTGGCCCACGCTTTATCTCCACCTTGAAATTCCCAAATGTCATATCATCAGTTGGGGCAAGTGGTTTTACGATAGCTTCTTCCGCCTTCTCCTCGACCTTTTCTTCACCACCTTCGCCGTAAGCTTTGCGTTCTGCCTTTTCTTTAGCGTCACGCTCCTTGTCAAGTCTGTCGAGACCTTTGCCTCCAAATCCAGAGCCGGCTGCCTGAGCTTTGCCAGTCTTCACCTTCTCCAGGAAACCTAGAAATGCAAATAATGGAAGTCGCTGTTATATGACCGTGATCATCCAGTACGTACCATTGGATAACTGTTCAAGATCAGGTGGCACAACAGCGTTACTCGCCTTGAGAGCACGATAGATATCAACAGAATACCGATCCTGTTCGGGAGTGATAAACGTGACACAGGTACCTTTGTTGCCAGCTCTTCCCGTTCGCCCCGCACGATGCACATAGTCTTCCATATGATTTGGTGCATCATAATTAATAACGAGTTTCAGTTGCTTGACATCCAGCCCTCGCGCTGCGACACTCGTGGCCGTCACAATAGGCACGACGCCAGACTTGAAATCTGCAATTGTTTGGTCCCTGTCTACTTGATCTTTCCCACCATGCAACGACATGCAAAGGTAACCCTTGCGTATGAGTTCGCGCAGCAGATCATCGGCAGCTTCTTGTCTATCCACGAAAATTAAGGTTCGGCATTCGGGATCCTCGTTGTACATTTGACCTAAAATCTCAAGCAGCCTATTGAACTTAGTTTCTTCTTCTCTGACTTCCACAATCTGCTCAATCTCCGGAGCTACAACTGAACGACCCCCTACGGTGATCTCAAGTGGCTTCCGAAGAATCTTCCGCGCCAGTGAATCCATTTGCTTGGGGAACGTAGCCGAGAATAACACTGTCTGTCTGTCGGGTCTGATATTATTGATGATCTTCATGACTTGTGGTTCAAACCCCATGTCAAACATACGATCGGCCTCATCCAAGACAACATAAGTCACTCGCTTTAGGTTTGTGACGCGACCAGAATTGGCGGTCAGCAAGTCGATCATCCTCCCAGGTGTACAAACAATAATTTCTGCACCTTTCTTCATCTCTGCGATTTGGTCTTTGATCGGAGAGCCACCATATGCACACACGGCCTGATAAATGAAAAATCAAACTCATATAGATAGACTAAGAATTGATCAACTCACTCTGAGATTTAACACTCGAAGGAATGGTTTGCATTCTCTATGAATCTGAACAGCCAACTCCCGGGTTGGGGTCATCACAATGGCGATCGGACCTTCCATTTGTTCCAAAGGCCTCTGATCTTTGATATGCCGGAAAAGGGGGAGCAAAAAGGCAATTGTTTTACCTGAACCCGTCTTCGCTACTCCAATAACATCGCGACCCGACATTATAGCAGGTATAGCTTGCGACTGAATAGCCGTAGGCGCGGTGTAATTAAGGCGCTTGATGACATCCAGACTACAAAACCGTTAAAAAAATATCATGAGCGAGAAACAGCAAACCAGATCCACTCACCAACTTGCGGGCATACCAAAATGACTCCATTTTGTAACAGGTTTAGGACAGTCCACGCCCCGGATCTTGATGCCATCTAGTTCAAGTCTGAGCAATTCAGCCTCATCCTCTGTCATCTCAGCGATATCGGGTGGTGGGTGATAAAAGGCTTTACGAAACTGTTCGTATACAATACGAGAATGATCTACGGCGGCTAGATCCTTCTTCTTTGCCTTCTTCGCAGCCAGAGCAAGAATATCTTCCGGGTTGAGGTCTGTAGTATCCAATTCATCTACAGGCACTTCAAAGTCATCGCCGTCGTCGACCTCAGCGTCATTATCAAGCGGACGTGTTTGTCTATTTTTAGACATTTTCTTTCGATCCTCCGCATTGACTTTTGTTACTTCTTGGGCAACGCTAGACATGAAAGCATCTAGAGGATCGTCCTCATCATCTTCGACCATTGCATCCCCATTCTTGGCATTAATATCAACTTCCATTTTTACATCTTCCTCGTCATCGTCGGCCTCCAGATTTTCACCTATGCTGGGTGCATTCTCCGCCATAGTCATGTCAACCGGAATATCGCTGAGGGTTTGAAGCTTTCGAGTCGATTCAACAGAATCGTCCATCGAATTTGCAGTTTTAGACGCTTTCAAAGCGTCTGACTTGACTGGTAACCCCTTGAGCCCCAGACCAGTCAACGCTGCTCTGTTTAAAGATATAATAGGCCTTGGGGTTGTGCCTGCTAAAAAAAGATAGGAAGATCAAGCAATATGAAATCATGAAAACTGGACAATATCGTTATAGACTCACTTGTAGGCGGAGCCGACTTACCCGCCAATGCCATAGCTTTAGCTTTTGCCTCGTCGAGAGCTTTCTTTGCCTCCCGTTCTTTCTTCCATGCCTCCAGACGCTCCCTTCTAGCCTTGATCTTGGGATCTTCTGGAGTAGAATGTGCAGGGACGGGAGACTTTGGAGTTTCAACGGGACGCGAACGGGGAGGTGTTAGAGGTCGTCGATCTCTGTCACGGCCGTCTCTGTCATAGTCGCGTTCCCTAGAATGAGACCTACGCCTATCTCGCGAGCGAGATCGACGTCGGTCATCATTCCGCCTTGATTCCCAGTCATCTCTCCGAGAATCTCTATCTCTATCTCTGTAATCCGGTCTGGAATTCCTTGGACGCCTAGTCGGCGATGGAGACCTAGATGAGCGGTGAGACTGCTTACTCCTCTTGTAATATCCATGTGACTCTGGAGAATGGCTCCTTTTGTCTCGAGGCATGGTTAAATTACAACCTAAGATGAGCGCGACTTGTGAAGTGGGGATTGAAAGCGGTGGCAAAGTGTGACTTAGGTAAGTACATAAGCATGATCCAAACGGAACGCGTGACGCGTCATCGTCTCTTTACTTGTACCTTCACCACCATATCCTCCCTTTACCTCCAATTTATTGATGTCTAACTTACTTGATCCTGCTGCCCTTCTCTCTTCACTTCCGAAATTGTTACATACTAACTGCGTCTTGCAATCTCCGCATGATGCCATTGTTGCTCTTATTCACACATGCATGCATGTCCTGTCATTTCGCTTGGTTGGCACAGACGATGCCGATACGATCGCAACGTACCCCGACAATCTCCTTCCCGATGCTTGGAATGCACGGGGACCAGCAGTTTACACGTTGCGATACAAGCACGAACAAAGTTCTCTGACTTTTGTGGTGAATGTATCCAAGTTGGCTACGCGTACCATTATCAATGCTATTGCTGTTGAAGTTTGTTACATGCTGTATATTAAATGCACCCCTCTAAATAGTATTTTTTGCGTCTAGAGTGACAAAATAGCTTCTTTAGATATACGAACTGACGATTACACTTCCGCATCCTTCTTTCCCTATAAAGTCTCGGCCCCAGAGTCTCAACCTCTCGTACATGGATTCATATCGTCAAACCGTCTGGCGGACTTGGTTCAAGCCTACAAGTTTAAGATTATCCAGAAGCTAGTCCCAGGGTTGAGGAAAGAAGGTTATACTGAGGCTACTGACGAAGGGTGTGTTGTTTCTCCAATGGTCATCTAATCTTTTAAACTCTGCTATAGATCTTCATCACGCTCCAGACAGGAGCAGCCTCGCCCCCAGGCTAGGCCCGTATCACCTGCTCGTCCTGAATACCCACCCTTCGGTGACCAGCCAGGCCAACAGCCATATCACAACCCTCTTTCCATTGGGAGACGAGACCTCGACCCCATTCCTGTCCATCCTTCATTTGCACCCCCACCCCTTTTCGGTGGTCCCTCCGGTGGGGATGGGATGATTGTCGGTCCCGACCATCCCATATTCCGGGATCGTTTTGCTGCCGGACGTGGTACTGGTCGACAAGGACCATGGGGCGGTGATGGTTTTTTGCCCCCGATGGGGGCACCCCCAGGAGCAAGGTTCGACCCTATAGCACCATCCGGCGCACCATTTGGTCAAGGTCGCGGCAGAGGCGGCCCCTTTGGAGGGATTCCCAGAGCGGGCCCGCGCTCTGGCGACCCTGACAACGACGAATTTATGCCTCCCGGCTCTGTGCGTGTCTTGCTCTTGTCTAATCCTTCATCTTCTCAGTTATTATATTAGAGTGATATGTTCTCCTAGCGACCCAGTAAAAGAGT